TCTTCGACATTTTGCTGTACGTTAATGCAGAATAAACAACGATGAACGGGAATAATAAATTATTTAACAGGAAAAACATTTCCACTTCCATGAGAGCGTTACAGTGACATTGTCAAAGGTGACAACTTCAACCAATTGTTTTATGCAGCAATTCGAACACAAACTGTCATTATTTTTAGCGCATTTTCTCATTTATGGAAAAAATGCCCTATTATGCTCGTCATGTCCGTCCGTCTGTCCGTGACTTCACGTTTTCGTCGATTTTGAGAAAATGTGCTCTAATGTCACTCACTGCTGTGAGTACTGAGTTATATTTTTTTATTAGTTGTTAGGCAGGATTTTCAAAAAAGGTAAAATTTGAAATTCGCCGAGGGCAACAATTCAATTCGATTCTTTTTCCCAACCACAGAGTGGCATTGAAGCAAAGAACAATGTCATGCTGTGCTCCTCTCCAATATCGCCCAGCCAAGATTAGACTATTGTTGCTCTGTGCTCCAGTTTCCTGGACGAAGAAATATATTGCCATGGAAATACGTTGTTGTTCAGCGTTTCCTGTGTCTTGCGTTTTTTTCGGTCAAGTAATTGAACATTAAAGGTTATAATTTATTATTACATAATTTCAAAGGAAATTTTGCATGCGGCTAAGAAAATTTGCTCGGTAATATCTGGCTAATAAATTCTTTGAAAATTTATGGATAATACAAGTAAATCATTTTAACATTTACTTTTACTTTAATATAAAATAAAGTAAAGAAATTCATTCCCGATTAAGCCTAATCATCATATTATTGCTAAATTGAAAAGGACTGGAATAGCTAATGCCATGCATTCATTTTGCTTGCCAGAGCAAATACAGAATAAGCTAAAAATTGCTAAATGTGTACCACATAATAATTTTGTATATAAATTTGATTCATATATTGATGCCAAAAATTGACCTTTTAGCCCCATAAAAGCTGCTGGGGTGACTTTTCATCTCAGCAATACGGTAATAACATCCTGAGTTATTTCCTTTATCGCAACACCAACGCCATCACCTAACATGGCCTAAATAGATGAGGTAGAGAAGGAGGGATAAATAATATATTGCTGTTAAATTATATGATCCATTCTAACGATGAGTCCTTCCCAGATAAAAATAGTAATATCTTTATCATGATGAAAACATGTTCATTTTAACGTCGAATGATTCAAATGGATTGCTTTTTATTGCACTGAATGCAATAAAGATTTTAGTATGAAAATCTTATAAAAACAAAATCAATAGATTATTGGCGATTGATTTCGCCAACATGCTGAATGTGCACTTTCACCAGGTACTCCAATTGAATTTAATATTTGTGGCAAAACGATATTAAAAAATTACTACATTGAAAATCAAAAGTTCATTTCAGTTAGAATTTGAAAGTGGAGCCAAACGCCACACAATTGAGCAAAAATTATCTAGCATATTCGGCAGATTGTTTAGCGTGGGACGCGGCCCAACCCGTCTCATGTCGCGTGCTAAGTGCCACTATCACAGCCTCGTCTGCTCTTGTGTTGCTTCTAGGGAAGTTCTCGCGGCCGTTGCCCTGCCTGCAGACGGCTGACCCGCATAAATAGCTGGTGACCGATAAACTTTAGTGTATTTACTATATTTAGTGTATTTACTAATTTACTATAGTTAAGACAGCTATTAAATTAACTTAATTTACTATAGTTAAGACAGCTATGCAAATTAACTTAATTTACTATAGTTAAGACAGCTATACAAATTAACTTAATTTACTATAGTTAAGACAGCTATACAAATTAACTTAATTTGCTATAGTTAAGACCGCTGTACAAATTGATTAAAGCAAAGGCATTGACTTGTATCATGAACAGCATTGACAAAAACAAAGTTTCGAATTAAATTTTTTTATTAAACTTGCAGGCACGCATGTTCCATTGAGCGTTGAAAACTTAAAAAAAAATATTAGTTTGTTACTGAGCATTCCAGTTTTTTTAGAGCCGAGTCGAAGTTTAAAACTTAGATTTTCATCAATAATTCAAATACGAACGAGTCGACATACGAAATTTGCCTTTCGATGCCTGAATGGTGCTTATTTGGAATTCAGGAATGAGTCGAATCTGCTAACTGAGAAAATAATGACTGTGGTAACTCAAGTAAATGACTGAACTTAATGATTCCACTTTATATTGATCGCAGTCAACGGGAGACCTTTAGTTAAATGAACTCTGCATCATCATTTAATGGTATATCTCTTATTCAGCAAGATTATTGACCAGTCGCAATATTGATGGCTTAATAATGCTGACACATTGTCACATTGACCTCGCTGTATGGATGTGCTCATCAGGCTGACACTTATCAGCCTAATGGCAGCACACAGAAATTCTTCAATGAGCCTGATGACTGCGATACACTTCACAACGATCATATTTGAAACGAAGCGATGGTTAAAATTCATTCAGTAACTTGCTCGACGCACCGCTGCGAGTGACGTAGTGGTAGAACTCTACGGACTGAAGTCCTGACATTTAATTATTCAAACTTGAGTTGTAGGTATCTCGAAATACATTCAAAAGAATTAAAGTTGATCGTGGTCTTACACAGGAGGAGTAAATGTAGCATTCATATCCGTAATAAATGTCCTAAATTGACCAAAGGTTTCCAACGATAAAGCATTTATATTCTTACTAAAGAATGCAAGTTGATGATGGCTGCAAAATACTAGCAAACCCTCTTTGTTAGTATAATGGTAAATACTAATTAAAAATGGTACCTAATTCAAAGTCACTGCATCATTAGTTTTAATTAACCGGAGAATTATAGTACATTAATTTCGAAAATCTTTTCAAATAATTCACAACCTAACAGCACTTTATCAATCGTTGTTGCGTTATACCTTAATTGTTACTGACTAGACTGAATAAGTCTAGTCAGTCATGACCAGTGTCAGTGTCTAGTCAACTAGTCATGACCAATGGATGTTTCTCTGGAGAACATCAGTCGTGTTCACACAGTAGGCACCGAACGTTATTCACCTGAGTATCGATCGTTTCAGTTACTCCTAAAGTTGAAGAGGCTCGCTAACATCACTCAAAACTTTATAGCTCAAGCAAGGCAATTTTGCGGTCGTTATAGTGTGTGCGCTGCGTAAAATGATGGCTTGGAAGCACACTTCTAAGCTGCAAACATCTGCAGAGACACGACATTGACAATAGGGCTCTGTAGAAGGATGCAATAATCGATGCAGGCCTCTTTCATCTCACTCGCTACATGCCGACCTCCGCCCCATCATGCGCCGGCTCGCTAGTGGTGACAGAGAGCCTAAGTCTGACGGCGCACATAAAATTGTCGGTGTTCTCGATAAATTATTTAGTCATTACTTATTTTCTATCCTATTTTCTCGTAATAAAAGGTTTCAGCATGTAAATCGAGCTTAATTTTTTTATCTAATGCAAAATATGTTTTTAAAATTGTCAATAATATCACTAAAAATTTTAAATAGCTGGTCAAAAACCATGGTCTCGAGTCAACGTCCTTAAGTGAGATGCATACAATAATAAGTTTATGCAACAGAGTGTGTAATTTCAAATAGTTTTCTCCTTGAAACACACTTCTCTTCAATGCAATGTACAAGTAAATAAACTAATGATAGTCAACGAAGAACATTCCTGCATGGATTCTAATATAGATATCAGATTAAATTGCAGACAAATAATCATCAGGCCCAGGCTTGAAGCAAATTACAAATTAATATATTTCACAGCTTTAATAAAGTGAAAAAATCACTAATGAAAGTATCGAAGGTGACGCCAACCTAAATATTCATATGAATTGTTGCGTAATCTGCATAAATAAGAGTAGCAGTGAGGTCAAATATCGTGGAGTAGAGAGATAATGACCACGCGACATGCACCCTCTGAGTTGTGCCATACGACCAGGCCTACTAAACCACAGAACAGAACTGAAGCTTCGGGGTCCAAAGCTGAAGTCAAATATTGACTTCAGCTTTGTATTGATTCCAGCTTTCAGTCAAATAACTGAAGCTTCCAGTCAAATATTGTTCTGGTAATAAATGATGGCAGCCAGCAATCATTTGGTGAACAATATCAAGGAGAAATTTTTATCAGAAATCGATGCTAATGAAGAAGCAACTATATAACTTGTGGACTGCAAAGATCTTTTCGCAGCAGTTGATGATAATGGATGAAGAAAATGACAAACAGTATAAGCATTGTTTGAATCTGAATAAAGACCAAAAAACTTTCTGGAGTTGAAAAGATAACGAATAAACTGTATTTGACAAAGCGAAAACTTGAAACATATTAACAATTACACTAAAAAATATTGGAATCGTGCTCTCAGTGTCATTCAATTTTTGTAGCAGCTCGTATCCATGATGATTTATAACATCTCATACAAATAAATATCGGCGAAATGTTGAGATTTCGATCCATTATTATATTTTAGTTTATAAATACTTACAACTCATATCTGAGTTAAAAGTATATAAGGAACCACCAGGATCATTTGGTGCTGGACCGTATCCCGTACGGTACGTGAACAATTAGCATGATCAATTCATATAATTTATTTGCTCAACGATTCATGAGTTACGGGACGAAATAATTACGATTTATTCTCAATCACTCTTTTAATATCAGTGACATGGAGACTGCACACATAATGTCTACCTAATATGTAAAAATAACTAATTAAGGAAGCTATCCTGCGATTTACATCGTTAACATTGATGAAACATTCACAAATTAAATTTTCTTGCTAATATCCAATAGCAAACATATCCCCTATTTTGCACTAAACAATTTGCTATGTAGTCAACAGCGTATCACAGAAAAAATTAACATTTTTCTTGCCTACACAGAACAGTTCCACTAACCGTACACCATCTGCTTCTTCATTAAGTGACCGGTGGCAAAAGCAGTATTTTTCTAGCGCAATTTACAAGGTCAAGAAAGAAGAGATCTCTTCGTAGGTAGGAACTCACCAGCAGAGAGAGAGAGACGTGCTTTTCTCTTCACGTCGCGCTGATAGCAACTGCCTGAGCCTCCTGCAGAGCACCCCATTCCGGCCGCTGCTGATGGCGGGCTGCAGACCTTGCTTCCTACGTCGGTAGGGCTAGCGTTACTAGTGCTACTGCACGCACTAGTGGCTGCTAATTGTGAGTCAATGCGTAACTCAGTAATCTCATTGTTCTCTAAAGAATTCGCAGAAGCTGAGTTTTCTTGGCTCTCGTTTCCTTTAATTTCATCGCTTACGTTCACAGTGCTTCTCTCTAATGATAAATCTTTCGTACATTCTTCGTTTTTCACGAAAACTTCGTCCCTACTACCATAGGACGTAGAAAACCCTACATCATCGTCATGGTCACCGAGCCCACGTCCATGATGAAGATGTTCTAAGCTCTTTTGCTGGCTCAGCGAAGTCTCGCGAGACTTACGGAAATCGTCAGCCATCTTTGCAATGTAAATGGAATCACTAGAATGGAGATGAAGCGCGTTTTGGCGATAAATTACTTTATTTTTTGATGATATAATGTCCAGTGGATAAATTATGAATAAAGAAACGATGTAGAAGAATGATCCAAAACAACTAGGAATGTTTATACACTCACATCGATTCAGGGTACACAGTTTAGCCCTGGAAAACAAGAAGTAATCAGTTACACTTAGTAAAACTGTTTTATTTACTTTTATAAACTGTATTATACGCTATCATTGCCTTATGTTCAACGAAGTTATTATTTTCATCCCTCGATGGAATCTGCCCGGCAATTTCAGGCCGTTTGCGAGATGCTCGTCAGTGACGCTGATTGCATTGGAGTCGCAGAGGCAGAGCGCAACCTTGTCTACTTATCCTGTCCGCAATTGCATTGTATGTTTTGATGAAACTGCGTCTGTTTCTTCCGTATGATGTTAAATATTTCCAGCATATCTAGGTGTCTTTACTTCAACAAATTTCATCGGCTCTGGAATATTTTGGCAGTGTTACAGGATGTTCTGCGTCTGAGGAAGTTCAGCCCAGCCTGCGGAAGGAAAAGAAAGCAATTAGAAACTTTGACCGCATAGCGGTAATACTACTTTGCAAAAACTATGCTAATTATTGGCCAGAAATATCTCAGGCCGATCAAAATGTGGTACGCTGTAGTACTGAGCACTACCTATGGCATGTAGCATATACTCCCTATATGTACATACTGCCCTATGGGATGTAGCATATACTGCCTATTTTCCAATTCTTTAGCTCAGAAACGCGGCAATATTATACCTGAAATTACTCTGAAAATTTAACATCAATATTTTGGATGATTATCAGTCAAAAGTTTACATTATTTTTCAGTTCAATTATTTCTATAAATAACCATACGTCAGAGAGGAGGGAAGAATTATACTCGATGATAATATAAATATTACATAATGTGTGAATACTAAGAAATTAATCAAATAAAAATAGTGACTATATAATACAAATCATTCGCTAACTTTTAATGTGAGGGAGGAGAAAGGGTGTTAACGTTAGAATGTCAATTATTATGGATCATTAACCGCCAGCAGTAAAGTTCAGTCTCACATTTATACGGCCATCGAGCGATGACGCTGCCAATACTTCACACGAGGTGAACTCGCGGTCTAAATATGCAATCAGGTATCCAAACATGCAATGTTTACCAGCAACGTAATGGAAGCTAGACAGACATTTCCCTGGCATGCTATTATGTATGAGACATGCACACTTCATGCAACTACGTAAAAACACGTAAATACGCAGCTACATATACATAAACGTTAGTTATAATATATACGATGGTCATGCTAAAGTTATATGTTTCGATATTGCGAGTTAAAAATAACTGAACGCGAAACCATTCATGCACTGCTCAGGATAGACACTCTAAGATAAATGAGTGGGACAAAGACCGCCGCACTTCTTAATTTAATTGCCTCTATGTGAGTCATCCTGACCCAGTGTGTTCCGGTAAATTGGAATAGCAATGCTACGTCCGCTCTCTTATGGATAAAAATGTGCGTCACTATTTGGACCATATAAGCGATTAATTTTCAGCGCATTTTCTCATTTATGGAAATAATGCACTATTGTGCTCGCCATGTCCATCCGTCCGTCTGTCTGTCTGTCCGTTCGTCTGTCCGTGACCTCAAGTTTTCGTCGACGAGAAAATGCGCTCTCTGTCACTCACTGCAGTGAGTACTGAGTTATATTTTTTTGAGTGTGTGGATACCAGCGCTTGAAGAGCAGCAAAGAATACATCAGCTCTCTTATATATCTCTTATTTTATGCCTGTTATTTGATGAGCCTGTGGATGTATAGCAAATTTACTAACGTTCTCTGTTTGAATGTTTTAAATGAATGAAATTAAATTAATGTCAGGTAACACCTGTAATTTATATTCTTGACTTCTTTTCAATGACGCATAGTGAAATTATGCTCTAGATTAATTCATACATATGCAACTCGTATTTATATAAATTATTAATATTTATCAATATTGATATTTATATTAATAATTAAAGAGCGCACCCAGCTGCTACGTAATGAGCTTGGCCAGGTAAAGCTTCAGCTTACATCACCAAAGCTGCCGCAACTATGCCGGCCGAAATACCGTCATGAAAGCTGCTTAAATCTTGACTTTTCTGCTCAGCGCCAGCCAGCGCAATTAACTCGATCAAAGCAAGACTACTTGGACCTGCTGTGATGGAAACGCAACACAGAGAATAATTAAGCAGATATATTCGATCTAAAGAAGATAAAACCAAATAAACGATTTCGTAAGCCTTATCAACGTGAATTCTTCGACTTTTGAAAGAAAGATTAAGAAAATAAGGTTGTAAAATCAATTAACGCACACAAGAGAACAAAAGAACCACTTCTGATCATTTCAACAAAATTTTCTCAGTCTTTTAGCTCGTGTATACTGGCTTCTCAAGTTATTCACGCAGACATTCAGCACTCATTAACACGTTTTTCTTAACTTAGCTTCGCGTTTGTTTGTTGTTAACATTGACAACGAAAATTAGCCCACTTCTGATTGCTCTAGAGATCTGAAATTATGATGTTAATATGGCGCGTCCAGCACAGAGCCGATATCTGCTGTGCAACGCAATTCAGATACTCCTGAAAAATGTTGCTTATTTCATATTCCAATGGTAAGCTTCGTTTGGGTGAGCCTCTTTGCCATGGTTGGACGAATTTTGCCATATAGTGTAGAAAATGTGCGGAGAATCCATATTTTATGATAAACATGAAAGGTAAGCGTTTCATGGTCTAACGAGTTGGTATGAACTCTGCCAATACAATACATATGGACTTCGCGATTCTTAATTGTCCGTGTACCAACATTTTTATTGAATTAATTTCGTCGTAATTACTTTTTGTCAGTGTTTTGACTGAATTCTTTTCATAGTAAAAAAGACTTTGTATTTCTAAGACTTTTCAAAGTAAAGACTTTGCATCTCATTCTTACGAAGAAAATTTATGAAATTCCATTATAAAGGGCAATTTAGTGAAAAATTCATGTCTTTATTGTTACAGCTTGTCTCTTTAAACCACAATCAAAATTTTTGAGGAACATGGATGAAAAAATGTAAATTCAAATTTCTCAAAAATTGAATTTTGAAAATTTGAAATAAAAAACTTGAAATTTGAAATAAAAAAAAAACAAAATTATTCTATTAAATAATTCTTCTAATATTATTCTATTTACATCATTTGTGAAGTATTTTTATCAGTTTAAATCATTCGCTAAACATTAAACTTGAGGGAAGTGGCAGTCCAGGTTAGAGCGCTGAATGAAATAATTAAAATATGTGCAGAATGTGGTGCTCTCGTAGACGACCTTAATTGTACTTCATAAGTCTAATTGTACGCGGGTGACGAGGCTTATACTCAGATACTATATCGGAGCTTATATTCAGCATCATCATCGTCACTAACTACACTCAATATCGATCATGATAGTGTGAGATGATGTTCGAGATTCCAAAGCTTTAACGGAAGAACTGAACTAATGGAAGCAATAATAAATATATTTGGATAGATAGAAACAAAAACTGTTTTCACTGTATGATCGAAACTCAATGATGAATTATTAACATGTGCGAAAAATGTCGAAACTTTACTCCGTGCCGGGTAGTACCCATTTGAGTTCATTGGGGAGTTTTACCCACTCAATATCAGAGAGAATTTTTTCTCACTTCGATTTTCCCCTATTCTTTTTCGTTTTTTATGTATAATATTATACATTATAATAATTTACGCTAGAATTATTACAATACTTTACTTTTCACGCAGATTTTTCAAGAAAATAGCAATAACATAACATATATAGTTTATTTACAATGAAATAGCGTTAGTATTAGACGAGTTAAAATAAACTGTTGTCAGACTTACGATGCCATCAAGTGCTCAAGCAAAAAATATAATGCTTTTTTCGTCTCAATTTGAGGAATCTTGTGCAGTGCTTGGTGTTTTAAGTTTAATATTCAAATAAGCTCCTGGTGAAAAAAATTTTCGAAATAACCCCAGCCTCAACTGGGCCGCACAAATATTACCAGCTTACAATGTTACTACGTAACTCCACGAGTTCAAAAGTTATTCGTTGATGAAAATGTGTTCTGAAGTTGACAATTTTGCAATACTACAATTTTAAAGCTCAAAAAGAAGGATTAACCATAAATCCGTGTTAAATTAAACCATTTGACTTTATTCTAGAAAATTTAAATCAACTTAGAGAGACTTGAAATTATCATCAAATGCCCCGCTGCAACAACGGCTGTAAGCATACTAAGAGCATCCTAGATCTAGCCAGACACTTGTACACTTCAGCTGGGTACACACGCAGGTGTTTTACTAGCTCAGTGTTTGAGTTGGAAGTTAGTACTCTTGCAGTTAGACGTGTACTCAGCATCTGTGTATACTCAGCCGTCAGCTGAGTACACACTGAGGTGAGTCAAGGCCAGGCTCAGTGTTTGAGTTGTAATTTTGAGCTCGTGTTGAGACTTCCCAGTCAGTTGCTGCCTTTTGATTTGCTCTGAATTATAAACTAACTGAAATGAATTTCTTAAAGATATGCCTTCTATGGAATATTGCGAATAATTTTATATAATGTTCTGCAGTTAAATTGAGTCTAGAGAATTTATCTTGATTGTTTTGCTGCTTTTAGTGTGAAATTGGCTCGAAACTCTCTTTATATTCAACATTTTAATATTTGTTAACATTTTAACAACTTTTTTCCATCGTCGCAAAATGATAAGTATCTTGTACAATACGAAACGAATGTTCGGTGCATCGTTGTACTAAATGAAGTCTGATTTGTTAATCGTTAATCATAGGTAACATTGATAAAAAAAATTGAAATATAGTTTCGATAATTATCCGAAGTAAATTTCGTATTGAAGTGAATGAAAATACGAAAATTGAAGAAATTAATGCTGCCAATACATCCCTCATAACATATTACGTCAAGACAAGTGAAATTATTGAGGTATTGGCAAATTTGAAATTATTGAAATTATTTACGTCAAGACAAGTGACAAATTAATGCAGCTGCCCTCTCCTCAATTGCAAATCTCTAATATTAATGTAACTAGCATACCTTAAGCTAAAGAGCGCAAAGACCACACGTGCAGCATTTTTCGCATAAGCAAAAATTACCACAGTCAATAATGCGCAGAAGAAGTGTGCGCCAGCGCTAATTTATGACGGCAACGCCTTACTCATGAAGTAAATTGGCATTACCGGAGATATTGGCGTCGCTGCTGGCATGTGTTTAAGATGGCTTCGCCATAAACGTGCACGGATGACAATAAACGTTAACAAGGCGTGTGCTGCAGTGCTGTCATAAACATGCACTCACGGCAATAAACGTTAGCAAGGCGTGTGCTGNTGAGTTGGTGTCACTGCATTGGTTTCTCCCAGTGGGATTCTCTAAATGAATATTCTCCTGTAATTTAAATATTTGTCAGTTTTTTTAATTCTCGACTCTTCCATTCAGTTTGGTAAAAGATGTTTCCTCACATTCCTTTTACATTCCATTCCACATTCTAACTAATTTGTTTACTTTCTACTGCTTAAATACCTGTCTCTTATACACATCTAGATGTGTATAAGAGACAGCTTTATGAGGAAATAAACTTTTAATCATTGCTGAATTTATCTTTGAACTTCTGTTTCAGTTTGACTACTCGCCCGGCTCACGAGTACAGTCTCACTTACAGTCAAAGTCTCATGGTTTCTTAGTTCGCGTGGCTGGTTTATTCCTACCATTTTATTAAGTAAGAGAACTATTTATTATCGCAGCAGAACAATTTGAATCAAATTTATCATAGAAGGAAATTACAAGCAGGGATTCTTTATTTTAATGTAAATTATTTTATGCATTTTTCAGAAGAATATGTGTCGTTTCTATAAAATACTTTTCCGTCTCTCTGCAATATTAGTTGATGAATATTATGCACACATTTGAAATAAATTTAACAAACTGATCAGTTAAATTTACATTCAAGAAAGCAAAAATACCGCAACAAAGCACTCGTTCTCTGCTAACCGATCGAGCGCAGTATTTATACAGGCTATTTCTTCAACAATCCAAACTCCTCATCTAAATTATTAAACTTAGCCCACACATTACGAATGCAATTTGGTTACATTTTTGACCTTCAAAATTTTATAGACATGCCGAAATTGTACACTAGCTGTAAATCACACAATTTTGCAAATGAAACTTAAAAAACTACAATGATTACTGCAGAAATTGTTGCCAGGGTATTAAAAGACAGTAAAGTATTGTAGCCACGTTCGGACCGGTGTAGTCGTGAAGAAATAGCACAACATTTAACAGAAATGTAAAACAGCAGTTAATGCTTGGCATTGGCATTGGCCCAGCTGCACTGTAGTCGCACAGACGCAAATCAAGCGCTGTTCTCGAGTTCACTGTTCATTTGTTAAGGGTATATCCGCGGAAGCACAGCGGCTGCCAAGCTTGTTGTGCCTTTTAACTTCAATTGAGACTCTTATTGTAAACGAGCTCAGCTGCAAAGATCACAAACAATGCAGTTAGCATACGGTCGTTATACGTGAGTCAAGTTGGCAGTGTGTCATCTTATTTAAATAGCTAACTTTATTCTATATTTATGCGCGAGAGTCTTCAAAGCTGGTTACGAGCTATAAATATTGTAGAAAAGAACACTTACTCTATAATTATTTTAGCTTAGCTTAGCTAAGTGCCTCCATTTTTTTAAGCCGGTTGCTAAACTTTAAAAGGTACAACATGGAGAGAATCAATCAATATTATTTTACCCTGAAACTCCTGATCTGTGGAAATCTGTATTTATTAAAATCGTGTAGTAAGAAATTGAAAAATACCAAAGCAAAACATGTTCTTAAAAGAAGGATTAAAATTCATCTAGTCGCGCTGAAAATTATGAAAACTTATGAAAAAGAACAATGCCGACTGGCATCAATAACCTAATAATTCCACGTTCCATTCCATTTTTCCAAAGGAAAAATTCGATGTATTTGGATTTACCTTTTAATACCAATGGCCGGGAGACAAAATATCCCGAAACACGGTCAAATGTTTCGAAGGGCAAATTTTCAAAGGGCCTTTCATCTTCTCGGCATTTTGCAACAAAATCGCATGTAAACCCAAATTTATTGGAATCTAGTTGAAAGTAAGACACGTCAATAAAACGGCAAATTTCACCGAAGGTCCGACATTAATCTTTTTGCATTTGAAGCAGCTACAAATCACCTGCTAAAACCTAAGACTTGGAAAAGGCGGCATCTTATCAAGGAAAAGTTGGCGGAATTTTATCAAAGGGTAAAAATTTACCAAACGATAAATTTTCCTTTACGATGTGCAACGACAGATGCGATATTTATTAAACAATCATTCAATTGCGATGTGCAATTGAATGATCGATAATGTCAGGCATGTGAGAATTGAGCAAATTCAGTCAATAGTGCTACATAAAGTTAAAAGAGCCGGGATTAAATGCTTAAAAATAATCAAATAAATTCACTAAAAAAGTTTCAGTTTCAGAGTTCCTGACGTGAGTGTCTGGCTTTGTCTTTAAAAATTAAAAAGCGACGAACTATAAAAAATGGGCAAGGTGCTCGCTCGTCTTAGTCGTTTGAGTTCAGCAACAGAAAAAATGTGAATAAATTTAGCTCAGTACTAAATAAAATTAAGAAAAATAAAATGTAAGGAATGAAATAAAAATACATAGATCAACTAGCCTCAAAATTAAACGATAATTCTTAGCTAATGCTGGATTGAAATGTGCGAAAAAAATCATATACTAAACTCCAAATCGATTTTTATAACACTCGCTTTAAAATTATGATCTGAGCAGAATAAATATAATCACTCATTTCATTTCAATGTTATTAAACAGTTTCTTGTACCTGATATTGGATAATTTTAATTCTTCATTTTCATTTCCAAATGAATATTTCTGCCTTCCAAGCTGCGGTCAGCCTCGAACAAGATAACCCCATTTGAAATAATTTATTTTATCAAAATTTAGATCATAGTAATTTGAACAATTAAATCCTTCAAGTATCTCAACAAAAATGCTCGGCCTCAAAATTACGAAAGAAGAGTAACGCCGTGAGAGGCTTTCGTCTCATGCGTCGAAAAAAATGTTTGACATAAATCTGTCAATAACCTGTCGGGTGTTTAAGAGTCATGCTGCTAGCCAGGTGCGACATATCTACTGCTTAAATACACCATAGAACTTGAAACTGCGGCAAGCGTATATAGACACAACTTAAATAAGTAAAACCACATAAAATTATCTTTAATAATTAGCTAGAGTTATTGATGCATATTCATGTGCATAGTAGCTACAATGAACAATATTTTGCCTGTAAGATTAAATACAAAATTATTGAAGCTGGAATAAACTATAGTAGCTTTATTTAAAATTGAACATCAATTGAACTAATCAAAGAATAAAAGCATAGAAAATCATTCAGTGTGACAGAAAAGAAGTTCAAAATAAAGGCTGCAGCAATGCATGGTACAGTAAATATGGCACTCACCAATTTTGAGGAGATACATCACGTCCATGGTGATAGTGACGGCCACCAACCGCACCGGCGCCACAGCGGAACTGGGCATTTGGAGCGCCGTTCAGAGTCGCAACGTCGGGCCTTAAACTGCCGCTACACGTCACAAACTCGGCACTAATTATGAGGGCAATATTCTTTATGGACATTAAGGTGGTATCTGTGCTACGCACTCGCCAGTATCACATGGAGGAGTCTAATTATGAGAGAATATTCCTCATGGACATTAAGGTTGTGTTATACTATGCGCTCAATTCTTTGTCATGGGACCCCGAAGGCTTTAAATTTAAGCCATTCACTTTCATAATTCGAGAAATTTTCTGCTCAAATGTTTGTATTAGTTCCGAAGTTAGCATTCAACTCAATGCTATTTGTGAAAAAGGGGAAAATGTGCTATTATTACTTATTTAAGCGAGCAATTTTCATCAAGTTTTTGTTCTTCCACAAGGTTTTCAAAACATATAATGATATCATTAATCAGAATTCAGAGCATGAATACATTCATATCAAATGGTCATCTACATACTTGAGTAGAAGTACTGTAAAAAAAACAAAAAAGACAAAAAATACGAACTCCTTCATAATAAATTAAAGTGACCAATTCCGATGTACGACCTGACTTCTGAAGGAGGTTTTTATTACAGGGCATTTATTTGTTACAGAAAATACTTGATTAGAAAAAGATTAATCATTTGGACTTTCTTTGTTTCATGTGGGCATTTTATGAATTTCATCCCAAGAATACATACTTTAAACCAACAACTTATGACTCCTACGGTTCGACCCCTCAAATTTCTGGAAAATTGTAGCAAATTTGAAAATTCCTTTCAAATTTATTAAAAACTTTGCAAATTGGCTGGTATTACTTGAGGCATGACTAATAAATAAAAGTCAAAACACTAGCATTTCTAGAACTGACTTTTTTCCTGAATTTCTTTCCCTTGCATTGTTCTAGCAAGCGCAGATGGAAAACACCGCAGTTCAATGGTCGCACCGCAAGCATGGGTGAATATCAATAACAACATTAATTGGATGCGCGGACCTTCATGGCAGCAAGTAACATTCAAATGTCAACAAACAAATCGATTTCCGGCAGCTGCCCTCAACCCTTGCGAAAAAGTTCTTTTTTGTTCACATAAATTCATTTCTGTTCAGCAATATTGTTCATCAATATTGTTAAATTTAGACATAGTTTTTGCAATCATGTTCAGTGTCATTGTTGTAGAACCCGTATTGTGATACTTAATTAGTCAGGAAAAATTCTATCTCATATCTATGCAACTCAATGTGCGTTGCAGCTGGCGAGCTCAATACTAGTTAGTGCTAAAGCTCAACTTTTCTAGCAGAGGTTAGTGCTAATTTACTAAAATTAGTGCTAATAAAGTATAATTAATTGTAGCTTGAGACATAGCCAGTAATACATGTACATCTCCATGTTTATGTATTAAATATGAAATAACTTTTAGCAAAGACTATTCAAACTTTTGACTTTTGTAATACAAAAAAATGGGCTATTCAAGGTTCTGCTTATTAGTCTCGATGGTTTACGTATATGTTCACAATTTGATTTGAATCTTAATTATTTTCCATTCCTCATTTGTTCATGATTCCCTACATAACTCATGCATTTGTCATATGATGAATGCTTGCTAATATTCCGTCTCAACGAGCAGTCAATGAAGTCACTAGTGTCTCAACACCCAATGAAGTCACTAGTGTCTCAACACCCAATTAAGTCACTAGTGTCTCAACATCCAATGAAGTCACTAGTGTCTCAACACCCAATGAAGTCACTAGCGTCTCAACACCCAATGAAGTCTCTAGCGTCTCAACACCCAATGAAGTCTCTAGCGTCTCAACACCCAATTTGCGCCCACTGAGGTGGCGGCCTTTGAAGTTCAGAAAAATTCCTGCGGAATGCAGTCTTTCACCTCCATTCTTTATAGGAACGCAAAAGTAGAATCGCCCTCATTTTTTGCTGATTTCATTTTTCGTGCATCATGATTTTTTCAGGCAATAGTGTCCGTAAATTAACTTAAATTCTGTTTTTAATTCATGCATGTAACAGTACTCGTTCCCTTCCTAGTGACTAATAAAGTACACGTGTTTTTAACATTTAGGTGCAGTTCTGAATTGACGTCCGATGTCTGCAGTCTGAATCCACAAAAAAAATTGATTAGATAAATATCGTCTCTAGAATTTGAAGCGAAGCTAAAGCGTGAATTGAAGTGAAGCTAAGCATGTCAATGGCAAAAACATCTAGATTTATTAATACCGACGATGCCCAGTAATGAAATTCTATTCACGAATATTTCTATCAGAACAACAATTTCACATTCCATCACGCCGCCTATTGTCACACTTCATCGAGGATATGCTGCGAGTGAACGCATTGCAACACGACGCGTTATCGACAAGTCTCGGCGCGAACCTAGAACTTTCTTGAGTTTGTGTGCCACGTAACCTTCATAACTCGTCGCGCTGCACAAATCTCGGGAACAGAATTGCTCATTAGGATACACGAGCAACACATGAAGAGGCACCGCATCATCTCACGACACACGAGTTAATCACCAGCACGACCAGCTACTGACTGCGACGGCGGTGTGAGCACAAATGTGCGCGACACGCGCGCACCGCACACAAGAAGCTCAGCGCACAGTGCAACCCCAGTCATTGGCTACCCTCACACTCCCGAGCACCCCTCCCTTGAATTTTTCACTCTTTTTCTCTTTTGCGCTAGGAATTACGTTTAGCCAAACATTAGTTGTTATTTTTTCCACACCTCGCTCCTCATCTCAGGAAAATGTTCACTCTGTGTCGTTGCTCTCTTTCTTCTCTCCTCTACTATGCTTGCCACACCCCCGACCCCCACAAGCGAGGGGTGTTCAGCCGATCGATGCGGGCGCGGTGCAGCCCTGCAACTTCCCTGCAGCAAGTGCTGAAAAGTTCGTTAAAACGTTCTTCTGGGCTCACTCAGTACATTTGTTTTCTTGGCTCGGTAATAATACAATAAAAATGTGAAATAGGTGGCAATGGCTCCCATATATAAAATAAAACAAGGACCCATTCATTGAATACGACGTCAGAATTAAATCAAAGAAGCACAATTGAGCCATCTTCATTGACGCCATAATTGTTAAAGAGAGTTAAATCGACACGCTTGTTTTTTGCGTTCCTCAATGGGGGGGTTACTTCATTGCTGTCTTCATGCGCTAAAATTTCATCAAATTTCAGTTTTAAATTTGGTTGTTGTCATCTGAGTGTTTTCCTCTTCGCCGGAAAGTTTATTCTGCAACTATATTGTTTCAGTGGAATTATTATTTTTTATGAGCGCTCAAGTCTTAGTGAACTTTTTTTCTTGCTAGGTAAGCCACTTAAACATTCCGACGCCCCAATTAGGCGAAAACTGCAGCTGCGCGAGACGGTTCTGTTGTTCTAGGCATTTTGAATTCGGATGTAATTTAAGCATAAAAAGTATTTTGAGCCCGGCTGAATTTATTTCATGAGCTTCCAAAAGTGGTAGTTTTAGCGATTTAGGGAAGCTCCATAAACTTTGAAAATTTTAATACTATATACTCGAAATGTTGTTTATCAATGTTTTTACTTTTTCTCGAGTAATTAAAAGTCCAATCCGAATAATTGGCAGCTTTCATTCTGAAACTATGTCGTCCAGTCGAGGAACTAATAAATAAAAAAACACGTCCAATCAAGGAACTAATAAATAAAAAACACGTCCAGTCGAGGAACTAATAAATAAAAAACACGTCCAGTCAAGGAACTAATAAATAAAAAACACGTCCAGTCAAGGAACTAATAAATAAAAAACACGTCCAGTTGAGGAACTACTAAATAAAAAAACACGTCCAGTCGAGGAACTAATAAATAAAAAAACACGTCCAGTCAAGGAACTAATAAATAAAAAAACACGTCCACTCAAGGAACTAATAAATAAAAAAACACGTCCTGTCAAGGAACTAATAAATAAAAAAAACACGTCCAGTCAAGGAACTAATAAATAAAAACGCGTCCAGTCAAGGAACTAATAAATAAAAAACACGTCCAGTTATGGAGCTAATAAATAAAAAAACACGTCCAGTCAAGGAACTAACAAATGTTGCCGCCGTGGCGCAGCCGGCGAGACATGGCGGCACCAAGGGCTTCAATTACGTAACTCCAGTTAATTGCGACGCAATTCTTCCAGCAAAACATGGCTAAGAAATGAAACTAAACTCTTTGTCTAAAAGGCGTAAAATTTAGTTGTCTTTCGTTAGAACAACTTGTTGATTATGTACGTAACTATTCGCCATAGTGATTTTTTTCACGGTTCGCTCCTTGCGAAGTCTTTGGAGATATGGTTTCGGAAGTAAAAAGTAAAGCAAAATCAGACATTTAAATAAATTGGTGATTCACATAATATTTTTTTCAGAAATTCAACAGATAATACGATAATATTATTCACGAGGCTTACGAAACAGTTCGGGTACAAAAATGTTTCCCGTCTCTTAATCAAAAATTTCAGAAAGTAATGCCTCCTCCTCGGGACTAAATTTAATTTTTGAGACAATCAAGCAGTTAAGTTAATTATTCTATTTATTCTATTCACATCATGGATCCAATGTTGGCGCAATTGAGCTTTGAGTTGATGGAAAGTCGGTAGTAGAATTGCAGAGAAGATTTTACTTCTTCGATAAGACGTGAACGGGACACCAAAATTGCCTTGTAGCAGTTCCAAAACCCTTGGGTAAAACATTAGATAGCGTGCAGGACCAAATTTTAAGGATCTCGAATGATGAAAACAAAAATATTAATAGCCGAGATGTTTATCATCGGCGTGGAAACAATAAACTGCATGTCTGAAATAAACATAATTGATGATCATACGAAACTTTTGTAAGGGTGCTCATATACAACAAAATTGCATGATTTTAGGAATCCCGGTTTTTTTAAACAATGATGGGTTTAGACGAAAATTTAGAAGAAGCATTTATACATTAAGGTTCATTTTCGACAAAATTCTGTCAAAATTCGCGTCTTTTCAAATATTTTTATGTTCTTTTTTTCAGTATAAAAGTTGTAAATGACGTATCAAACGCTGTTTTTCGTATGAGAGCATGGGGAACGTTAACTACTGTTCCCTATATTAAAAATAAATTTTATACTGGCCGTACATAATGACATTGACAGCAAGTTATTACCCCCTCATCTCGTTTGAATTACATCATTTCATGCATAATTGAACGTTCAGGGTATTAATATAGATATTAAATATATATTTAGATATAATATTGAAACTAATTAGACGAACGGCACCATTTACCACTACAATTCGTCGTGAACCAAAAGGTGATTGTTCTTAGACAAGGTAGACAGCGCATCGAAAAGAATCTCTCTTATAGACACGGGGCAGTTAGGATACAATAGCCAGCATCTCGCGTCGTCGCGACCATAGGATTCAGCTTGGACGAATTCCCACAAGTCGAATCCGCCTGCAGAATTTACAGGGATGTCTGGTATATGGCGTCTGCTTATAGTTCTATTGTATCTGTCTCCGACTTTGGAGAGCTTGGTCCTCTTAAGCTTCTCCCATAGTTTCTTTTTTGTCTGCGACCTCTCAAGAGAAATGATTGTGCTTCCTTCCTGCATGTCCATTATTTCATTTCTCGCTGAACTTTCGTGGAAGGACGAGTCGTACATGTCAGCAGCTGGCGCTCCGGGCGAGTGGCTTGGACTGAAAGAAAATGCAGGTTTAGAAGTTCACTAACCTTCATTTATTTGCTATCAACTTAAACATTGACACTCTTCGAGTTTCTTGAAAATATTAATGCAGTTTATAAAAAAAGAAGAAAGGAAAAAGGACTCACGTGAGGAGCAGCGTCAGGATCTCGCCCAGCAATCCGTTCTCAATGAGAGGTCCTTGCGCTGCCTCACACACCGCCCTCTGCAGGCACGCTCGTCCCTGCAGTCCGGTTCTGTTTTAAAATAATTTTAATTTAATAAATAAATTAATTTTACCGGTTGCGTAAATACATGGCTTGATAGTTAAAATATTCTGCCGATAGTCTGTAACTAACATATTTATAAAAAATAATTTTTCAGGACAGTTTTTCAAGATTTTTTGAGCACATATCACAAATTTTATACCTAGACTCAATATTTTATATTTATTATAAAAATTGTCATCAATATTGAAATAGACATAAATTTAATTTTCATTACAAGCAGCGTAAAATTCTAACTACATGAAAATATCACAATGAAACATGACATTTGGTCGTCTTACTACACACCGCTGTCTGATGGGCACAACTTTGCTGTATTTAGTTCTCTAAAGTAAAATAAAGAAAATTTTTACATGAATTGGATACCAAAATTCTAATCATACCCGAGTTGAAAGGAATTAGGAAACAGTGATTAAATTGAGGTTTACATTAAATCGTGTACATTCAAAAAGAATTAAAAACTGCGTTTCAAATTCAGTATAGGGGCTTAAAAAGTCTCACAAAAACTATGACGAAAATTGTATGTTGATCTTACTCGTCGACAAGAGCGATGATGGAGCGGTACAGCGCTGATCTGTCTTCAGCAATACTGCGACGCTTGCGCCTGCCGTTCGTTGCTCGGTTAGGTAACTTGAACTTCACCTCCAGACGGAGGTCCGTCGTTAGGGCTGCACCACAAATGTGTAAATGATATTTTAAAATGTTGCCTCATTTATCTCACTAATTTCAATTACCATCTCAGAAAACGGCTCAAAGTATAACAATAAAAGGAACATGTTGATACGGGTAACAACTTATCTGTGTCGTTAACAACTCTTGTGTATAAATATTGCGATATAGTAACAAATCAGCACTTTAACCTGCTTGAATGGTCTTTTTCTGTAAAAAAAACTTGGCAATTTTCAGTACATAGATAAACTTTAAAGTTCAGACGGCAAAGCAAACCTAGCATGCCTAATGTCTCTCTCGAATGTCATTTCCATTTTAAGCAGAAAAGTTCAAGTATTACAGAAATGGTCAAATAAAAACATTTAACTGCATTAGACACCTATCATGGCACAGTGGACAAAGAAAAATGAAAAAAAAAACTTGCCAATTGGGGGAAATATTAGATGATCTAGATTTTTCATTTCGATTCGAATTTATAAATATAAGTATACGTACTCTGGTTGCACAAGTAACTAATCATTATTTTAATCTACAACTCACACGTAGAAGTATCCGAGTAGACAGGAGTGACGAGCTTGAACTGAAAAGTAAGGGACGACCCAAGAGGGAAGTAAAACATATCACGTTTGACGCGGCTGCTCCGCTCGGCAAGAGCAAACTCCGTAAAATTGCTTCCAGTGTTTTTCGTAAATCCTTTAAGTGGGAACAGAGATTGTGTGCCAGCCAGAGACAGTCCTTGTAATGGATTGTGTGGTTGTAGCTGCAGTGCAGAGCTAGTAGAGCTGTACAGGGCAAGGCCTATGAAGAAACGCAAGGCGGTGCTCCATGTTAGTGTCTGACTGACGTTTATTGCTTTCCGTATTGACTTGATGGCCATTGTGATGAATAAATTATGTTAACTCTCCTATAAATTATACGAAATCGTGTTTTAGGTCTACAAGTAAAATTTGTGCAAATTAATCTTATCTATTTGAGTTAAAAATAACTATCATTTAAAACACTATGATTTCAAATAAGAGGATTTCCCATTAGAAGATTTCACATCTGAATAAAAATCAGCTTCATTAAATCAGAGCCATATAATTGTGTTCAATCACATTTTACAATAGGAAAACTTGTGGAACACGAGTCGCGATTTTTAAAACTCAAGCAACTCATATTTACCATCAAGTATTGTCATACTGAGAATAAAGTAACTACACTTTTCCTGATATAACATGAGAGATATTTGATCATTAAGCAGGTGCCGAAATTTTAAAACCGAAACAAATAGCAAAGACCGACACCAATGATTTTCGATTGCGATGTATACTTTTTGCATTCCTATCACTCAATTTTTCGGACTGGATTGATTCTACGCCAAACATTATCTAGACATGTAAATGTTCTAGAGGATCCGTCACAGAAGCTGCTACGGCAATGAGCCAGTGTCATGAACAACACCTACAGCTTCCAGGACAACGCCTGACGCGATTCTCTCCACAGCTCGCACGCTTCTCAGTCACGCGTAAATAGGATGATTTATGCATGCTTGTTACTGCAAATTCGACAGGCAACATGAATGCGTGTTAGTGACACCTAGTGAAAGTTAGACCTTGTCTCCTTAGAAAGCAAGAGCAACACGTGTAAATTAAACTCAAGTTACTAGAAATATGATATACTGACCTAATAAAGTAAGAAAATACAAATATTAGTTAATTACGGAACATTGAAGTAAACGTTGATGTGTATTGGTAGATGTAGCAGCATGTAAAGAGTAACAGAAATAATTTATTATAACTTACAACAGAAATAACATGGGTTCCGGCGTTGTCGGGAATCGATATTCCTTGCAGAAACTAATCCCCAAATCTATAATCATGTCACCCCCAATGCCAGATATCGTCTCAACACGCCAATGCTTCAATCAAACTTTCATATATATTTTTGCAGTAGAAATACAAATATTAGCTTAAACGCATGCAGCAATCGTATAACTTATCACAATACAAAATGACATAACACAAGACGACATTTCTCAAAGTTTTTTAGTGCGTATGTGTTTTAACCCAGGCAATGCTGAACGGAAGCATCATCATACATACACTTTTCGTGTCGGGATATTGCCTGGACCCGAAAATTTATTCTTTACCTGAGGATAGTGAGGCATTGCAAAACCTGGAAGGAATAATTGGATCAAAAATGGAAAGTTTACTTTCAAATTGTTATTGGAAAATTTAATTTTACAGGCGCAAACTGATTTTTTCTGATTTCGAAACGATAATTAAATGGGAGTTCTATGTCCCAAATAAAATAAGATTTTGAACGACTCTCTTTTTAATTAGCATACAATATCTTCATTGTTGCGAACGGGATTAGAGACAACAGGAATAAGAGGATTTAGGGATATCTGGATTCTTAAATTTCAGGTTTTATCGAACCCTCTCATCGCCTGGCTAGCTAGCTAGTATGCGTACTAATCACCAGTTATTTTCGAAATTTTATATCCCTTTCCTTATTTCTATGCAATCATGTCAGGGAACTTCAGATTTAGAACATTTTGTTTTGTAAGTTCAATGGAATCAATCCAGATTATTTCTAAATTGTGTTTTGTAGTACAGTAATGATTTTAGTACTGCAAGATTTTTGTTCAGGAAAATGTATAATACTCATCTCACCACTTGGACGCCTCTATCATGCACATGAATAATTGTGATGAGAAGCAGTGTGAGAAGTTTCTCCCGAACGAAATGAGGTTGTCTAATGATCGATTCTCACAACTCTCGTTAACAGCGGTATAAATTTAAGTTTTTACGCAAATAATTACTAAATTTTCATATTGGCGACGAAAATTTTCTCCTTCCCTAACGCGATAAATATATACAGCTCCAGATAATTTTAATTTCAATTTAAATTACTAACAGCTTCTTGCGCACGCGCTTAATGCTGCACACTGTCCTTTTTCCCTTCAATATTTTCACCTTGGGAGTAATTATGAGTATGAAGTAATCATAATCATAACTTTCATTACCTGTACTCCATATTTTAAAGTTTTTAAAGTAATAGGTAAAATATCAAACAAGGTGATATAAATTATGTGAGGTTTATTGTTTCAACACAGTTGAAATCTTTCATCATGCGACTGAATCATGAATCATGAATCACCCAGAAGCTTACACCAAAGCCATGATTAAAAATTGACGAATACAAACATATTAGCCAGTCACTTCAGGAATTTTCTGAACATTAATTGAAGAAATGCTGGCATTGATATTCACGTATCTGAATAATCATTTAGGATCCGCATATAATTTTTACTTAAGAAATTTTCTCGACATTTTTTGATATCTAATTTTAATTGTGCTACTTTAAATATTATTACATTCTAAGTATTGAGAGTAACATTATTTTTGTCTAACAACAAATTATTTTATTTTATGTAGGTTCAATATTTATATAGGTTTGATGGGACTTCATGAGTCGTCCATGAGTCGGAATATAGAGACAGGACAGTCGGGGTAAGCGCTCCAGCAGTTGCCATAGTGCAAGCCTCGGTACTCTGCCCTCGCATACTCCTCCATGTCGTCTGAGTGGAGACCTTCCGGGGCACTTCAAATTTACGCCTCCCGCCAGCTTTGCCGTTTACCTGCACCGCACGGTACTGACCTCAGGATGAAATAACAATTTTTATTTTAAAAATGATCCCATATCAAACTGTAAATTTATATACAATGATCAACTCGGTAACTCAGCATTTCTCACCTGCCTGCAAACTCTATCAGTACCAGAGAGGCACTTGGCTGGGCAGCATGTTGATGACCTCACCCAACCCCCAGCACCTCAGAGGCACATACCTGAGCAGGATGTTGATGGCCTCACCCAACCCCCAGCACCTCAGAGGCACATACCTTAGCAGGATGTTGATGACCTCCCCCAAGAGGCCATCATCCCTGAGGGGCGACTCTGCCACCTCACACACAGCCCTCAGCAGACACGCTCGGCCGCTTACGCCAAACCTGAGCGTCAATCACGAATATTTCACTAATATTTTCATCAACTACTACACGGAACTGTTAACCAATACACGTAAAATTACTTGATAAATCATTCTTACTCGGAAAATTTCATAAGTCGCCACAAATTATGGTCTAGATCTTATTTATATAGATACATGTATATGATTGTTTTCCCTAATTATTTAAATTCATTTTCTTCTCACGAACTTATGTCATCGTACTTGGTAAACATTTATTCATTTATGTCATTCCGAGAATTTACCCAAGCGATGCGAAAATTATCTTGTGTCTCCAATTTATTATGTTGTATTATTTAGTATAATAAATTAAATAAGAAATTGATAATAGAAACATGAACTAGTCTCCAATCAAACTTGCAAAATATTTATTAATATATTATTGTATTTATTTGTCTATTATATTTATTTGTCTTTTTAGCGCATTTTCACATTTATGAAAAAAATTCACTATTGTGCTCGTCATGTCCGTCCGTCTGTGTCTGTCCGTCCGTGACTTCACGTTGTCGTCGACGAGAAAATGCGCTCTCTGTCGCTTACTGCAGTGAGTACCGAGTTATATTTTTGTTAGTAAATTATTCATTATTATAAAAATAAACCTTTCGATGGACTCCTCGAGCAAGGAGTAGATGCCCAGCCTGTCGTTGCTGCGTCCCAAGCCGCTGACGTCTGTGGTGTTGGGCAGCTTTATGGTGAAGGGAAGCTCCACGTCCAGCACTCCAGCTATTACAATTATTCGGTATAAGCACTTACAATTAATCTGTATTAATAAATTATTAGATCTCAGCAATTGAATCCGCCCAGCATCACTGGACCTCTACAAATGCACGCAAAAGCCTCGTTCAGCTAACTGAAACTTTGGGGATATGCAGCTCCACAAATTAATAATTCAAAGGCCTCAACTATAAGGTTTGGAAATAACTAAATTCTTATATTTATCATTTTCAGTGAATACGGACTTTCAAGTGAAAAGTTTATCTATAGTTCAGTCAATGCAAGGAATTTTCATCAGGAATCGGCTCAAGAACTGAAAATTATAAGATCACGGGAGCTAATCGATGTCAGAACTTTCCTCTTCCGAGTGAATTCGGGGAAGGAAGATGTTCACATTGTTAACGATGACATATCGTGCGATTTATCACTTTCTGATTATAGAGGAAAGTGCTCCATTGTAGGATAAGGCGATGCTTATGAGCATCTCGGAGCCCTACACTTCACGCAGCACAGCCACGCGCGTGAGTTAACGTGAGCTGCATTCCCACGATAGCCTCAAGTTCGCGTGCGTGAGCGCTGCTTGCTTATTAGGCGAAAAATGGGTTCTTTAGATCTAAGGCTACATATGATTAGAACTAATTGCTACATCGCTTTTTTCGTTTCCCAATCACTGATTTATCTAAACAAGATAATGTTTAACAAATTGAAGAGTAAAGATGCGCGCTCACCGATATCTCCCATACTGAAGACAGGGACACACAGGATGGGAGTGATGACAAAAGTAGACCCGGTTGGGAAAGATATAGTTCGCTTTTGTCTTCCGTGAAGCTCTTGCATTTCTAGAATTAAGAAAAAAGCTTATCAATTTTAATATATTGATTGAGTTTGAAAAATCGTACAACAAAGAATAGAATGTTTTCGTGGCTTGGCTTCTCTAACTTACTTGAATTCTATCGAAACCCTCTCCTCGTATCAAGCTCAGTTGCGAAAATTGTCTATAATGATTTTTTTGTAAAAGGTTTCGTTCTCATTTGGTCAATTAACCTCTAGTTTTCATTTTAAATTTCGATTGACTTAACATCGCTAGAAAAGTTTCTTGTATCATTTTAATCGTACATGCCTTTAAATACTGATAAATATTTAATCATAATTTATTCCAGGAATAATGTCACGTGATCCCCAAGATTCAATCAAAAGGCGGCGCCATAACCTGGTCTTTTTTTGCAGATTTTATTAAAATGTTTATCAACAACAAACAAGTTGCAAGGCGCAATAATTTTACTTGGCGTCATCTCGACGGGTGTGGCGGGCTTTTTCTTGGTGGCGGTCTTGGACACACGAGCCTGATACTCCCGCCACGTCTCCGCCGCCTGCGCGCACGCCGCCGCCACCAACAACGCCGCCACCGCCACCCGCCACATCTGCCACATCATCATGCCTGGTGGTATATAACTAAGGATTACATCTATTAATTATTATAATGCTGATTACATTTATTTCACACACTTTATTAAGAGATAATGCAAAAAATATATATGAATTATCATCCTTTTTTCGTTAAAAGACTCTGTTATGATTGATGATTTTAACTTTTTAGGCTCAGAAATTAATACGGATTGAGCATTGATAGAATAGATTTTATTTCAAATGCTATTCATGAGTAGATCCTGAGACTATTCAGAAGTAGAAAATTACATATTATCGGAGACATCCGCCAATTATTTAACTAAATTTGTGCTCCTTCTATTATCTTACATTTGATTCGAGCGTGAAACATACCTTTACTTTTTGATAACTTAATGTTTTCGGAAATAGGATAACTCTCTCTTGGCTCCTTTTTTAATTCAATTCAAGTTATTCACTTCAGTATGCGCTCCAAAATCAGCAATGTTGTTATCTCGAGAACAAAATTCGCTGATTTTGACCTGCAGCAGGCAGAAGTCTCAGCACCGAGCTAACAACCTCTGCCGTATCTTGTATACGAGTGAGATAGTGGATACCGATAGCGCTAGCGGAGCAGCTGTCTCTGAGGTGATAGCGAGCGCAGCGTCAGAGGTGTACTGATGTGGCGCTCACAGCGTTTCTTGTCTCGACGTCCTCGTGACTGACCTACTCAGCAGTTCCTCCCTGCACCAATGTTTGTATAATAATTAAACCCATTTCAAACTTTTAAATTGCTAAGATATGTCTACTGGAATATGCAGGATCATTAATGAGTTTCGTAGACAATTTTTCCTTCCTCCCTGCACCAATGAATGTAGAATAATTAAAACAGTTAAAACCATTAAATTGCTAAGATATGTCTGCTGAAAAATGCATTAATGAGTTTCGTAGATAATTTTTGGATCTGCTGAAATTTGACATGGTTAAGGTAAATTGTGCCAAGAAATGACCAGCAAAAGTTGATCAAAGTGAAAATTTTTGCCCTCCTACAATAATTTGTTGCGATTTATTTAAAAAATCCTTTGGTAAAAATTCACTCGTAACACTTTGATTGCAATTTGTCGTACTTGCATAAAAGACGTTTTATTTGAGCTAACTTGGCCTTTTCCTGTAAGAACCAAGATTACGTCATGATAATTTTCATGTTCATAATATACAGTCTTAGTTGTATTACGCAAATTATTAAGTGCAGATTTCTGGTAACTGAACATAAACTCGCAAAACACCCAATCTCGGTCACCAAAATGCCGTGTGTCTGAGGTAAGGTAGTCTCTCGAATGCTAATTACAACCTTCAAGCACGCACATCCGTTTATTGCGTGATAGCAGCGACACATTTCAGTTTTCTTCTAATTCTCATTAATCGAAGGCCTTGTATATATTGAAGGCGCTTGTCGTTCACCGCATTGATATGACAGTTCGGTACGAAACACATGCGAAACGGACTAACATTTACTGCCAGATAGGCTCATAAGTCCAAGGAAATTTCGCGTCACTTCATGTGCTAGGGTATTGCAATTATCGCTATTATTTTCTCAACATAATCCTAATTAATAGGCTAAAATAGTTAAGAGAAGTTTTCAACTTGTTTAACTTGCTACAACATTTTTCTTCATCCAACAATTGTTCATTCTTTAAAATAAATTATATCTTACGACTAAGTTACAGGCATTTGTTCGAGAATGATCAACTTGTCTGAAATATGTAATTTCGGAAAATTTTTTAGCGTGTTTCAATTTAATAACTAATGACGGAATTTATTGCGCAACGAAATGAATTATATATCATTCCTAACTATAGATATTACCGCCATGACCAATTAAAATATGTGCACGATTACAGCAGTTCAAATTTTAAGATGAAGTAGAAAAACAAACCAAAATAATACAACCATTTACTTATACAGCATGTACAAAATCCCTGTAAAATCCAAAATCTGCTATTTTCCCAAAATAGTTAAGTATCATAATTTGAATACAAATTAATACGAATTGATGAAACATTAAACAGTAGTATTATGGTAATCTCCGACAATTTTTGTAGGCTGTTAATCATTTCACATGCGAATATCATAATTTAATAATCTGGGCAGGGTTTAATTGCACTATTAGAAGGCCGTAATAATTGTGGTATGTTTCGATTCAACAAATTTCGATTTTTTGCTGTTTTTAGGTTAAAACAAAAAAATTTCTATTAATTAAATGATCTTTATTTGAACAAAAACTAAGAGATAGTGCTACCCAGCGCTTTGTATAGGCCAATTGTAAATAGATCAATTTTTGATCAATCATATATAATAAATCAATTTTTATACATTAGATCAATTTTTGAAATAGTCTAATTAAACTCTTATTATTACATACACACATATAGATTCAGACATGCATGTAAAATTGCGATATTAAGAACGATATTAACAACATTTAACTTAGAATAATAACGTAAAATGCAAACTTAATTATCATCTATGCTGAACCCTCACTGACATGGTCAAATGATCCATAATCAAGAAAATCCGAATTTTTCGTTCCCTGCAGAAATGTTTTCCGCAACACGTGATGCACAACGTTTTCCATATTGAGCCTCTTGGCTGCAAATCTAATTGAATAAAATATGTACCATAAGTAAGAAAATCTTCAATCATCAAACAAGTGTAAATGCATTTGTTTTGTAATCTTGATCAAAAATCATCCAACACAATTGCAACGAGCTTTTATTGATTGTTTAGTAACATAACAAATATTTAGCCTTATTATCATGTTACAATTTTGGTGTCGAAATGAAAGCAAAATCTTGTCTTCAAAAATGAAATATACTAACATTACTAACCTCGTCAGCTAACCTGTAAAATCAGTCTGAAATTATTTAATATTAATATCAAATGCTAACACATTAGATAACAATAACTGATTCGCTTTTTTTGGTGGTGTGAACATATCATTGAATCACCATGCTAACACCTAACCAAAACGCTGTTCGGAAAAAGAAAAAAAAAATACTAAATTATTTCAGTACTACACAATTTAAAATGCAGCAAATTTACCTCTGGAAATACCCCTATTAAAGTGTACTTCAAGATTTAAAGAGTAACTCTTTGCTGCATGCCGTATGCTTTCGAATGCTTCGCATTCGAAAGTTTGTTTTGCTTCTAGGATCATCAAAGTTGTAGTTAAACTTTAACACAGGTATTAGCATAATCTTATTAACTGCACTATTCTCTTTTCTTAACTTAATATTATTTTGCGCAGTAGGACTTACCCTAAATATAGTACACAATTACAGGAAACGACCTTGGCATGTTACATCGCACATACATTACTTTCACATAAATATCAACTTCTTAAATTTCATGATCTACACTTCGCTGGATGATTTGATCTCATGTAACTGCTGACAAGAAGTACGGACACGTGCTTCAATTTTTGTTCAGTAGCACATCTTGATGGCTGATCTCTCTGACATACTGAATAATCGATTTGACATTCTGACACATCGACCGCTGTAGCACAGAGACGGGGCAGTCAGCGCTGCTTCGCCAGTTGCAGCGCTATATGATATCACAGTCAGCGCTGCTTCGCCATTGTCAGCACAGAGACAGATAGTAAGTGCTGCCATATCAGCTTAAGCACAGAGACAGATAGTCAGTGCTACTATATCAGCTTCAGCACAGAGACAGACAGTCTGTGTTGCTATATCAGCTTCAGCACAGAGACAGACAGTCAGTGCTGCTCTATCAGCTTCAGCACAGAGACAGGACAGTCGCTGTATAGGGCAGGACAGTCGCCGTGAGAGCGGCCGTAGTAGACCGCTTCGCTGTACTCATCCGTGGCGGATGAGGCCGGCGAACTGCTCATGAAGATTAAAACAATTCAATTAAAGTATGTGAATTAATGCATATAATGCTTTGATCGCTTAGGCCAAGACGTAGCCTCTAACCACCAATCCGAAAATTTAGGCACACCAGAAAGGTAATAGAGTAGATTTTTCATCTTCGGTTCACCATATCTTGTTGTCAATACGCCTTGCGGAACGATACAGAGATGAAGGATTTACACATTCAAACTTTAACAAATGGTAATTCACTATTTACCAGAAGACGAATGCTAATACTATATGCACTTCCGAAATATTTATGTGTGATCCAATAACAACGTTGTCAAAGATGCATCAACCTTGAACAAACTGTCAAACGTCGTATGAATTCAAGATCACGTAATATTTACAATAATTTCTACAAATGTTCAGCTTGTGCTTCCAAGATGACACTCACCCCAGTAGGATGTTCAGAGCCTCGCCCAGCAGGCCGTTGTGTTTGAGAGGTGAATAAGCGACCTCACACATCGCGCGCAGCAAGCAGGCCCGACCGTCCAACCCAAACCTGCTCGCGCGCGACGCACCGGTTAAGATTTCCATGGGTGACTCAAACATACTTTCGTGGTGGACAGGTTATGCGATTCCTTTAGAGGCGTATGATTACTTTGAATTGTGTTTGAATAGAACATGAGGCGACGGCAGTATTGGCCTATCATGTAAATTAAACGTTGCGTTTGGTAATTATATTTTAATAGATATTAGACAAATAGTTCGTGAGTTACATTGCGGAATGAAGAAGTGAAGTGAAACAATATGTAATATATCAAGCTACAATGTAGCGCTGTGATGAAATTAAGAGCTTATCACTCGATGAGCATATTACGAGAAAAAAATTAGCAATGATGAATAAGATTGATTATGATTTGATATTCGGTGATGATCAGATTAGTATGCCATGATTGTGAAAAAGCACGGGGTGGCCAAGCAGGTTAACCAGTGTATAAACTTATGAAGTAAACACAATTATTATTGAGGAATTTAATATTATTAGCTAAGTAGCGAAGTTTTTCCACGCATGCATCTGGAATAAAAACGTTTTAACCCGTCAATAGACGACACAGTAATTATAATATGATTTAAGGTCCTAAGGCAGTTATTTACGTGGCCAAGGCTCGCTGCACGGCGCTGTAGACGCCGTATCGGTCGCTGTCCCTGCCGATGGCTGCGATCTGCGTGCTGTTGGGCAGCGTGAAGCGCAGCGGCAGTTCGATGTACAGCTTACCACCTACGGAGCACAGGCACGATGACCTCATTGAGGATAACTATGAGTTTTTTATATGATTTTTCCTCATTAATTACTATTATTAATTTTTGATTAGATGATTCCTCATAATTAATTAATATGAAGGTCAAAACATATTGAAATAAGGCTGAAAAACTTTGTACTGGAGAACCAGTGGAAATATAAAGAACCTGTTGTACTTCATAAATTGGAACATTGTTAGAAGATTAATAGGTAAAATCTGACCGTTTTTTGGGGGTCATCAATTGATTATTATAGAAGAGGAGCATTTTCACAGAACATGCGTTAATGATAATATAATAAAAAATATTCTTAGTTCTTGAGCATTTGTGGGCCATTAGCGCTTTTTTTATTTAATTTCTTTGAAATCTAATGATAATAATGTTTGAAGGTAATTGAATATACTTTTCAAAGCATATAAAAAATTACGCAACCGAACGATTGTTAACCGAGTTAAATTTGACTTTAGGGAGAAGAAAAGTACTCTGCACAATAGCCGAAGGCCGTGGGAAGTTCTCACACCTCTGTGGCACTTATTATTCTGTGGGAATTCTTCCGCCCATGGGAGCGTTTTCTCTCCCGCGGAAAGCTCTGCTAAGGCAGCGAGAGCTAATGAGCTCCAAGAATCCAGTGACATCGATTCTCAGGACAGAAACGTTGAAACCAACTTTACTCATCTGATGCATGAAATTTAGAATTTTTCTTTCAATGATGAAATTGATGGAGAGATGCATGGTGAAACTGATTGGGATATTGATTGAGGCTGTAGGAATTCTCCCGAAATTGTTATAAAAATGTTTTGTAATAAAATACAACCACACTCACTGATATCTCCCTGAGTCTCGACGGGAATGCAGAAAATAGGAGACAGGGTGAGGACTGAGCCGGTGGGGAAGGCGATAGTGCGCTTCTGCCGACTGTGGATTTCCATTCCTTTGGAGCACAATATTGTAGATACAAATTACAGATGTTTTAGGGTAACTTCATTTAATTCAGCGAGAGCATAATATTAACCATACCTAATAAGTAATCATCATATAAATACAAAACAACGAAAAAAAGCAAGCAGTGAATGCGAATTTCATCAGATTAGGTTCCACAATCGCTATAGGCTGGTACCATCTGAATAGGGAAAACTCATTTGAATTGCAATCGCACAGCTATTTTCTAGAACATCTAACCGGTACTGCGAAAGTGTGATGATCATCAAACAAACTGGTTTAGAGGCTACTAATCCATCGACTCGTAGTCGACTGACTACGAGCCGATGGAAAAAATTTTCGGCTCGTAAAAAAAATTAAAAAATTCCTAAAAAATAAATAAAAAAAATGAAATAAAATTTTCGTCGTTAAATTGCTAAATTATATCGACTTTATTACGTAGAATTTGTCTGCTGCACCAACCAGAGCCGTCATAGAGCGCCCGCTTTGCCCTCCTGCGCGCAGCACCAGCAGCTTGTGTGCGGGCGTGGTAGTCCTGCCAGCTCTCCGCCATGACGGCAGCTACAGTCACCAGCACTACCACCACCGCCGGGCTTAGGTAGCGAGGTCTCATTGCGGCCAGTCAATCTTGGACCTCGTGGAAATAATATAAATAATTAAAATGGAACATTTGGGACCGCAGGTATTTATTATGACCTCGGGGTTATATGTGAAAATCAATTTTAATAATCAAAATAACGCTGGTGACTGATTTAATTTTTTTGTATTCACAGAAACGATAACAGCATTATTCCTCACTGTTGATTATTTCTTATTTAAAAGTCGAACGTTAGCGATTGTCGAAACTTGTAGATTGCAGAAATCACGCACAATCCCGAATAGCGCTGTTTTGGATGTGCAGCGCATTTATTATGCGCTCTGACTGAACACCTAGAATTATTCAGTCTTTATAATACCGAGTCTCCATAATAGTATAAACTACTATTTTTGTTATAATGCAACTATATCGAATTGAAGCCAATTCACATAATACAAATTCGACATTAGCAACTCAACACCATTAGTAACGACCGCGTAAAAAATTAGTTGAAAGTCTTTTATCAGAAGTCACTAAATGTTTTCACGTATAAACACCAAATGCTTTTGCTCACTTCGGCAGGATTTGTCGTTGATCGCTTGATGAATGCAGTGGGCGCTTTCCTCTCTCTCCGTCAAACCGCTACAGGCAGCTCGGTGCTCGGAACTCGACTGCAGAGGCAGCCTTGCTAGAGTCAACGCGCGGCCGAGTGGCAGAACTACGGAGTGACATCGATGCCGCACTCACGAGGAGAAGCACTTGATGATCACGAGAGATAGAGGTTAACATGAATTAAGACACAATTCTGTATACTTTTCACTAATAGACAAATTATAGCCGAATCACATAAAGATCACGAAGGATAGAGGTAAACATGAATTAAGACTTAATTCTGTATACTTTTCACTAATGGACAAATTATAGCCGAATCGCATGAAATTTTACTCACTACTCAGAACGTTCACCAAATTTCTTGAAAATTTTTACTGAAAGTTCATATATTCCATACTGGCATTCAATAAATTTGTGCTATCTGAATAATGTTCCTTGCCTACTGAAATAAAGATGAACATATCATTGACTGCCGTACACGTATCAATAACTTGATCTTTCAGAACGTCAGGGGTGACTGCAATTTATATGAAATTTCACCCATTTCTTTCTAATGCCCGTTTATAACCGTTAGCTTAGACAATAATACACTTATGTATGGAAATGAATAAAAATTGAACAGTTCATGAATGTACTTTATAATAAACATTGAACAGTAATTCGTACGTAAATATACAGTAAACAGTAAATATTTAAAGTGGACCGATGTAAGTACTTGAAAATATCTGACAAGACATGAATAAATTCCACAGCCTATGAGAAGATATTACTTTCTAATTTTGATTAATGAGAGTATCAGATAGGAGAAGTAGCTTCCGAGAAAGCGTTAATTCGATTAGCTCAGAAATAGTTGCTAATGATGGCATTTAGATATGACCGATTCTCTAGCATGGGGCTTGCGCACCGAGTTGCGAGAGAGACTGGACACATGCTGTGAGCGACAGTAGCCGCTCATGCGCACTTCCGCTACGCTAGCTTTCGTTGTGACAGGCGTTACTTATTGCTGGGATATTATCCCCCGTCATTAAATTAAAATTACTATGATTTTCACTTTGCGGTCAAGATCCCGATGTCTCAACCATGTTCCTGACGGCTATGAGGGCGGGAATCTGTGAATGTCAATTAACTGTATTGCTTAGATCGTTGCATCTCGCTCAGCAACATTACGCGTCGACTTTATTAAAAAGTATCTATTTGTATCCACGCGCATCGAACCATTCCTTTCTATGAATCTAATTCATTTTTCTATTACAGGTCTCGAGTTTCACAGCGTTTCTAACATCTGCCTCGTGTGGCGCACAAGTATGAATTGGCTTAGCATAAAACTTGTATTATTCATTTGCATACGAGTCCCGAACGTCATTATTTTAACATAACGATAAACGTTTCATACTCGTAATTTGAACTTTTCGCAAACACGTGTGCGTCGCACATCGTCATCCCTAACGTGACTCCACACCTAACAGTTCAAAACCTCAACCAATAAAAGGAGGAAAAAAATACAAGAAGCCCAGGTTCGATCATTTATTTTCAAACATTTTAAATAAGGTCACAGTATAATAATAATATCTACAACATGAAAAACAACGTAAGTGGAAAACAATTCCATCTGACATGTTCAGGACTAAAATGACCGGCTACTTTCCCGGTCGCGAGAGAAAGAGCCGCCATTCAAGAGCAAAAACGCCTTTGACATTCACATTTCTGCGAGGGTCAGTGAGAGGGTGAGGAGTCTTGGTAGAAATGTTATACCTAGCGAATCTTCCAAAAACTTATTTTATTATTCCTTACTAGTCAGAGGTAACAGATTTTTTTTTTGGTTAAAAAGAAACCAATTTGCACAATAACAAATAACTTGAGTTTTCTTTAGGATTCCGAAATAGCAGTATTTTTCGTCAATAAGGTTGATCCAAACATCAAACCTTCACAAACCTCACAGACTGAGTGGAAAACGTTGCACAGCACAAAACGTCCGGGCAATTCTTCAACTTTTTTTCTTCATCTTTTTATCTTTGAGTGCAAAAGTTACTGGCTTTTCATTTACCTCGGGTTTCCCTTTTATTTTGAAAGCGAGGCGTTGCTCTGGTATCCGTGTGTCCAAAATTACTGGCTTGTCATTTGCCTTGGGTTCTCCTTTTATTTTGAGGGCGAGGCGCTGCGCGATCTCACTATAAGGGCGCTGCATCTCGGAGGGCGTCTGTGGGATGCCGCACGCACGACGCAGGCGAGGGTGCATCAGGACGAAGGCTTGCGCCAGCGCACAGCTACTCGACGTCACCCAGTACAGCACCACGGCCTGTCAGGGTAATCATAGTCATGAACATGCATTTACATTATTGTTGTTATGCTGGCCTGTTGATGTCATAACATGGATGTAGACTACTCACGGCTGGCATGACCAAGGCACAAGCGACTACTGCAAGCATGAACATACGATGACTCACTTAATGCAGATACATGCCATGACTCACTGAAGGCATAAACATGGCGATGGGGACGGTGATGACGGCCACGCCACGGAAGACCCACGTCATCACCCGCACGCCGGTCGAGACGGCAACCGCCGGCCGCTGCAGGACATGAACCTGAACACAAAAATACAATATGAACTTTGTAGGGAAAATTTATACTTTTACAGACATGTAATTTCGAATACAGTGAGACAGACTTGAGTTCTGCATCGTTATAATGAATGAAATTCAGTCGAAAGTCCTGAAGAGACCGCCGAGCAGTCTCTTTTTAACGCATTTTCTTATTTATGGAAAAAAATGCCCTATTGTGCTCGTCATGTCCGTCTGTCTGTCTATCCATCCGTGACTTTATGTTTTCGTCGACGAGAAAATGCGCGCTCTGTCACTCACTGCAGTGAGTACCGAGTTATATTTTTTATTAAATTAGTTAGCCGGCATTATTGTGTGTACCGTGGAATTTTCAGACTCAATGAAGAATCAGAACTATCTATGTAATCTGATATGAAGACGCGATCCACTAGCACAGGTCTTCTATAATTACTAATCAGTGAGTCACAAGCGACTCACAACTGAACTGATCTCGACAAGTCAGCCCACACATTTTCATCTTTATGACACATCTACACACACAGAATACTGATACAGAAACGGCCAAGACACTTTTCGCTAATGGGTTAAAAAAGATAGACACTATAGATTATTGATTATTGCTAGGCCCAAAGTGTTGCACATGAGCAATGGCTCGATTACAGCGCGGTATGTAGTGATGCACGTAAGAACGGCTCGACTACAGCGCGGTATGAAATGTTGCTCTTTAGCACGATTTTAATCTAGCAGGTAAATAGGCGAGAAAGTGTAGCAATTGTGATGCATATAAAAGTAGTAAAGACCTCAGTAATAATCAGGTTGATGATGGCCATTGAGAACGGAAGTATCATCAGTGAGTCCGATACGGTGAGATCGGTGCACCAAGGAAGTCCTTCTAAGCTCAGCTCCTGCTGCGCCGCCATCGCCGCTGCATGAACAACAGGACAGAGTTAAGCATCCACAAAACGCAGGCCAATGGCGAGCGTCACAGTACACAAAAAACGAATGTTTGTTTTTTATGCTTACTGTTCATACTTATTTCTCAACAAAATGCCCGCATGTTCGTGTTCCATAAACAACATTACATAGGTAATAATTCGCAACCTGCAACTGTGATCAAGACCACATGAGGAAAGTGGTCTTGAATCGTGGCTTGCCTGCTGCTGATGACTACAAAAACAGAACGACACACACGCTAGATCAAGCTCTTAAAACAAATATGAGAATTTTGGTTGCACAGAAAGCACAAGCAATTGCATGTGAAATACAATATGCGAGAGATATACCAAGAAGTTCAGATAAGTTACCCAAAAACAGAAAAATCAGTTTGCAAGTAAGACTGCAGCCATATGATATTTTTTATATGATTTTATATGATATGCTATCTATTATAAGAAATGTGACAAATAATAACTAGCTTTGAGAAAGTATAACTTATTTGACATAGTCCTCTAAATTTAATTAAATAAATGCCTGTGGATGATTTAGAACGGTACGGTATATAGAATAAGTACCAGATTCAAGGTTGAGCTTACCATAGTCAGACTGGGGTGGGCACAGGGCCAGGTTGCGGAAAGCCACGGAGATCATGATCCACAACGGCAGCTGCCCCAGTAGCAACACGACTCCCTTGCCGGGATGGCAGTTGTCACGCACTATCAGCTCATTCCATGATTCTTTACACTGAAACCATTCTGTCATTAAACATTGAACATCTTACAAGTGTCACAAGTAAAATATTCCATCAATCATTGTAAATTTGAGGCAAAGCAAAAAAAAAAAAACAGAACTAGCAACCAACTTCTTCATGATTGCTGCATAATTCTGAACAAGCACATTGCCTGTGAAGCTGACAGACCCAGGTCTGTTGACGTTAGTAGATAAAAACTGCTTGCCTAAGCCTCACCTTTTCTTAAAAATCACTGAAGGGCGTCCAGGTTGTATATACGTATTCTTCAAGATATTTAACATGTACCAAGTAATAATTGCTCAAGTATTGAAAATATCCGAATTTCCTTCGGCACCTTAGCTGAATTTGCACGAGCATGTCAAACGGCTGACAAGTCAAGTACGGTAGGTATTACTAACCAAATTCAAAAATCATTCAGCAAAGTTTGCACTCGGATGTCAAAATAAAAAACTTTGCCCTCACCCTCCTTCTGAAGTGAAGACGAGTCTTTGCCTCATCCCAAGCAAACTTTCGCTTGGCAGCTCGAGTCTCATCAGCAAGTCTTTGCATCACAGTCACCATTTCACCCTTCAGCAGTTCAACTTTTGCAAAGACATATTGCTGTGAAAAATAAGGCATTAGGATATGTAAGAATCATGAACAGTTTGGAACCCTTCCAACAAAATACAGCATGTACTACCAAAAAGTACTCTGACTAAATTTTTTTTGAAAATTGACAATTCAAGCTAAAAATTACCAATGAAGAAATTTAAATTTTTAGTGCCAAGACAATCTGGTGACATTTTGGTTGGCCAGCAGTAACAATCACTTTTTGAATATATCAGAAAATTTAACAATATATGACATTAAAATAAAAAAAAAATCAGAAACAGCATTCAGAAGCCATGCATAAATGAAGTACAATGCAGCCAAATACCTGATACAGAGCAAGAGGTAGTGTGATAGACGTCCTGAGCACAACTGTGGTGAGGATGATAGACATCCACCATGGTACACCTAATGCACTGTGTATATCTTGCAGCCACACCATCAACTGGAAATATACAAGCATAGTATTTAATGAACCAGAATATTTCATGATTTTCAGCTGTTAATTACACCAGTTAGTTTTATAGGGACAATAGAAACATAAGTGTAACTAAACAGTACCTAATAATGTACCCATCATGATAATTCTGTACGGTATCATTTATGGTTCATTAAAAAAGCTGGCTCCATGTATTATATAAATACAACATTTTCATAATGCAAATGGAGAACAAAATAGCATACCTACCATGTATACAATAAAACAGCATTGTTAAATTAAATTATACTAATTAAGGTAATGGTTAAAGTGTCAGTTGTGTGTCACATATCATCAGTTATCTCACCTTCATAACAGGAGCACTTGATGCCAGGCTTTCAAACCACTTGACGTAAGTAGCCAGCCAGCCAGTGAGTTCAGAACTTGAATTAGAGGCAGCTTCTGTAGCTGCACTAACAGTTGGTATAATGGTATCAAGAAATGAAGTTTGATTTTCGTGGTTAAGCACTCCATTGTAGTCCCCGGTTGCTGTAAGATTTTGAGGAGTCTTAATTGAGCTGGGTATCTGCGTGCTAGCATTTGAAATTTCCACACTATTCAAAGTACATTTTAATGTAGATAAACTTTCAGAATTGATATTGGATTCTAAGGGATCAATATAGGTGGGTATTGAAGAATAGAACACTTCCTGTTTTTGGATTGGGAGTGCTGAAACATTCAATAAATGATAACCTTGCATCAGGGTGGTTTTAGATGATACAACAGATTGGCTAGAATAGCTGACTCGTGTTTTTGTGCTATACAGGGAAATTTCAACAGATGAAGTGCATAAAGAACTGAAGGATGCATGCAGTCTTGATAAGGCCAAGTGTCCACATGGCCTAAATTGCAGTAGGTTGTTTCTACACGAGCCTATATATAATGAAGCCATCACAAATCTAAACAGAAATCTAAGCTCAAGACAGAGAGCACAAAAATTGGAGTAAATATAATAGTTTTATAATTATACTTCTTTAATATGATATTAACTTTTGCCTAACACAAATCTGAAAAGAGAAAATGAAAAATCAATTTTCAAAATTATTCTGTGTCAACGTTCCTCTTATTATCTACACTGAATGTTTCTTATTTAGGTAACCTATTTTCTGAGCTTTTTATTCAAGGTTAAAGTAAGAATATTAAAAGTCAGAAAGTTCATATGTGAATCTAAAATGAAGTTCATTTAAAAATAAACAATTCATATTACCTACATGTAGGTATATAGTACTACTACTTGAAATAACATTTTTCTAATCATACTTTTTCCGGATGTTCAACAATAATTGCAAAAAGAATACCTATCAGGAATTAAAACAAAACAATCTCTGGTGGAAGAGAGAAGAGACTGTGAAGAATAATAGGGATACACTTGTCAGCCGCAGTTACTGGCAACATGGCATTAGCCAGTTTTTAAAAATGCGCAAAGTGCTCCTTTTCTTCATGGCAAGGAGTATTCAGTTGAGTGCAAGGGTGGGGGTATTCTTTATTCAAGTGGTTGCTCAGGTAACAAAATTTATAATGTAGTATATATGCCTTTAAATTAATGCACAATTTATATTGAGGGGCAATTAGGGCCCATGGCCATGTGCCTACTTTTTCTTTGAAAGATAGTACAATGAAGAGGTCCTTATTTAAACTTCCATTATTAAACAGCTTGTAGTTGTAGCACTTGTAGGTATATACAATTTTACATACTTCTCAGACTTTACACTGGATATACTTTTTACACTTAAAAACATACAACACATAGAACATAGAAGCACTGAAGCAGAATAGCTAAAATGCTTCTTCCGCTCTGGAAGATGCTGACTTGTTCTTGTTTGGTCTTTGATGAAGCTTCCACCAACAGCATGGAATCTGAAATTAAACTCATATTAGGATATGAAAGCAGTTCTTATGTGTTCAAAACATCAAAGTTATCATTAATTCATGCTTCACAAGTTCACAGTCATTGAACCAGATAAATGACCTGTTAATCTGGCTGACCCAGTGTCTGTCTGCTCTAAAAAATTTCTACTCTAAAAACCTCAACTGTATTTTTGAAGCCATGAACTTCTCCATCTTGAAGACATGTAATTTCTAATTTTGAAATTACATGGCAGAAGTTTTGTTAGTTTCCTAAAATTGTAGATAAAACAATCATTATCCAGGTGATTTTTAAAAACAAGTCATTTTCAGTATTTTTTACTGGAAAAATTCCATTATCATCAGGCAATATGATTAGAATGGATCAAATTGGACTGGCCAATTTGGCCAGATTTATGAGCATTTTTGTTTAATTCACAGTTGGCATCTGCCTTCTGCTCAATTTTTCAGTTAGGTAGGCCTAAGATTTCATAAATACATACCTAGAACTAGAAGGCTAGCAATTAGTGCACTAATTACCTACCATTCTACCAAAGTAATCAAAGTGATATTATTACTGATATACATATTAGAAGTTGAACTGTAGAAGATTTAGAGCCAGAAACAAAATTACTTAATACATTTAAATAGGTAATTTAATATTTAATACATTTAGATATTTAATCTTATTGCTGACCCTACATTGCCTACAATCAGTAGTCAGTAGTAGTCAGTACAAAGTCTGTACAATCACTACAACAATGAACAATGGAATGACAAAATTTGTTCTTGATGACAGCCAAAATCATTAAAATTAAAATGACTCAACATTCATGATGAATGAAATGAATTAATTGACAATAGCTTAAGTCTAAGAACATGTAAGTGATGTAGGTACTGCTTGTGCTGGAGACTAGATAATAAAACTTAGGTAAGTCAGAAATCACTGAGAATCTGAGCAAAGAGGCTGAAAGAGCTTAAGAGCAAATGAATGCAACGCATCATTGCATGCAAGTAAAATTCAGTAAGCCTGAAGTTTGTAGAGGCAGACTGCAATTGAACTCTTTATATGCATCATTTACTGGCAATGGTCGTCAACTCGTCAATCGTCATGGAATGGTGGATACATCAAATAACATCATCATACATGTAAGTGCGAAACGATGGAATTGGAAGCTGCCGCCACGGTGCCACCCTGCCCGGCTGCCCCTTTAAGTTTAACCACCCAATTAGATGGCAGAGCAGCTTACACACGCCCAAGAATCAAAGAATAGTCATATCCAGTCACATATCGGCATTGATCTATTGCCGTCCGTGTGCGGTGGGCAGGTGACAGCGGTGTGCCTACCGTACAAAGTACTAGTAGTAGTAGCCGGCTTGAAGGTGAAGAAGTAGCCGGAAGATGACCACTCGTTACACCTGGACTCAGCAGAAAGTTTCAGCATTAAATGTCAATGGGTCTTGAAGGTTCTATTAGCTGGGCTTCCAGTTTTGCTCACAGGTAGATCCAGGATGGTGCTCATGCACTACAGGGAGATCAGACAATTTGTTTGCATTAAATAGGTGATTGTTGCTCTTATTATTGCAT